AAATTTTCAGAAAAAAGGTACAGCTTATTTTAGTAATCAATAAATTCCTTGAAATTCTATCCACTTACCATGCGTTCGTAAAAACAACTGCCTTGCTTTCTCTCCACATGCCACAATTTTTGTACTGTCATCAACCTCCTTTTCTCCCAAAGCAGCCTTAACAGCCTTCACCAAGTTAGAATGGATCCCACCACACAATCCACGATCAGATGACATCACAACTATGAGGTTTTTGGGTGTAGTCTTGTCCACATCACTTGGTTTGATTTCAACTTTATCATACAAAGCTGAGGAAAAACATGTAAGCTGCGATCAGATCAACAAAAGCATTTATTAACATGTTCATGTACAAAAATTCACACTGTTTCTCTATCCTCTGTTCTCATTTTCAAGAACAAGATTATGAGTGGAAGTGAATTCAGTTAAATTTACATACCTGAAGCACCAGCTCCATAAATTCTTGCAGGACGTAATTCCCTCTCTGCTTTACCAAACTTGGCAGCTGATACCATCTTCATGGATTTTGTAATCTTCTGGATATTTTTCACACTCCTTAATCGCAAGGAGACTAAATTTAAAAGCATAATGATTTTAAAGTAAGTGGTGGCACAATGCAGTTAACCCTTTAAGTCCTTTAAGTGATCCACAGGTAATGTCTTCCAAAAATATCCACCCACTGACTAGTAAACATGTAATGAGAATACTTAAACTAATCAGGCAGTTGTTGTTATTTTGATCTAACAACAAATTCTTGTTACTATTATTCAAGGAAATGTGTAACAGCTAGAAGGGAGTACTGACAATCAGATCTTGAGAATTAAATGGTCAAGTAAAGTATTATTAGATAAGATTTCAAAGAGCGACAGGTAACTGAGACCTTAAAAATGAACAAAAAATAACACATGGAACGAACCAAGAAAACTAGAAATGTCATAATTTCTAAAAAAACACTGTTGCATGGCACTTAAACGCCTTAACTTATGATATTTATACATTGATTTTTGACAAATTTCACATCTCTCCGGACGAGGAGGCGTAATATTTGTGCGCTGCATCTGTTTGTGATTACTCTCTTAGAAACATCAACTGTGAAAGAGATTTCATTACGTGAAAAATCTTTTTTTCTTCTTGAGAACCTAAGGCTTCTTATCCCTTTATTGCCGTAACAATCAACTTCAGCAAGAACACAGTTATTCTCGACATCGAATCGCTCAATCAACATAAACTTTGTGAATTAGTTTGATATTTCAACTTACTATCTTTCAATGTTGCCATGTTCCTTACAGCTGGACTGCGAAAAAAGAACAGAAAAATACAGCACTCAGAAAAATCTGGAAATTGCCATATCTGTTACCCGTAAAAGTTTAGTTTCTCACCATGATGCTGGCCTAAAAACAGCTCCTCGAATGAAGACCCCGTTAGCCGCCATCTTGGATGTCTGTACGTCTCTCACTCGGTCACGTGGGTTTATTGGACCGCTGACTAACAAATCGCTTTACAACACAGAATGTCATTGGTCAAAAATTCGAATTTGATAACTTGACCAATTAGAACTTATTTAAGAAAAACAAAGTTTGTTATCGCAGGCTCAATTAAATTGAACACGTTTTGTATTTTCGAAAATCACAAGGAATAGGGGTGAAAATGTCGGGTCGGGAAGGTAATTTTTAGATTAAGTTCCGACTTCTTTTGCTCGTATGTTGTCAATTGATTCTATTATGAAGCCTACTGATCTACCATTTTTCGCAGGAGGAAAGAAAAAACCACTCAAACAGCCCAAGAAAGAAAAGAAGGAACTGGATGAGGTACAATTTTGCATGTTAGGAATCGAACGACAAATTCGTTAAAATACTTAGGGGTGCAGCTGTTATAATTCAATTTTATCCATAATTTGAGTTGTATCTGTCTTTACTTTTTTGTTACTTATCAAAAGATAGGCTGCCTTTCCATGGTAAAGATAAATGTGAGACAACTCTAGGGCTACACACGATCATTCTTTGACTCGCGCTTTTCTAAGTTAAAGAGGTATTTAATGAAAGGGCTGTTAGAGGGCAGATTGATTTCTTCATATTCTATGGTGCGCAAGCAAAAATTTGTTTTTTAAGACTATACATTTTTTCAGAAATACAATAGACTTCGTTTTCCTCTCGATCAAAGCTTCTAGTATGTTTCATGCAGAAGGGCTGTGGGGGAGGGGGTAGTGGGATGAAACTCATTGGGGGGAGGGGTTGTATGAAGGTCTGTTGTAGAGGCTAAGGAGGTATACTGTTAAGAGGTAGTCGTGGTGTGGAATAGATTTTCAGATTAACCCCTTAACTCCCGTCAGTGACCAAGAAATAATTTCTCCTTACAATTTCAATACAACATCAAACAGACAAGTTAGGAGAAACATATCAACAAGGGGTGATCAGTTGATCCAACACAAAGTTCTCAGAACTAACTTTATTAGAATTGTATGGCAGACAGTGAGGAGAATTACTAATAAGATCTTGGGAATGTTAATCATTTTAATAGATTATTAAACCTATCCCAGAGAAGCAAGTAATAGAATTTGAACTCGGTGGGGACACCTTAGGTTTCTGATCATGCTGTATGCAAGGGTAATAGTTTATTTGAAAAATAACACACTTCTGATTGGCTGAAAACAAGTGCATTCTCAAGTTATAGGATTGTAAAGTTGTAACACGAGGGCAAATTACAAAAAGTGCATGCATGCTTTCAAAATTTTTTCTGTTTCAACTTTCTGTAATATTTTTTCATGTACATGATTAACAAGTAATAAAATGATTTCTCTTGCAGTTTGGTGTAATAAGCACTTGTAAATTTTTCAACAACTACAAATTGCACTTGCCCTATGGGCTTCTACAAAAAAATTCACAAGAGCTTATTTGCACAAAGTTGTACTCAAAATCATGTTGTTACCTATAGTAATTTTTTTAGCAATTTTTTAGGATGAGGTGGCACATCAGCAGAAGATGAAGGCTGATAAAAAGGCACTGGAACAAGCAAAGGCTAAAGCAGCTCAGAAAGGACCAATGGGTATGAACAGTGCTTAACTTTTGAAACTATAAGAGTGACTAGTGTCTAGTTTCTCCTTACAACAATTCTGCTAAACCAACATGATTGAGAATATAAGAAAATGTTCGCAACCTAAGAAGCTTTGATTGTGAGACAAATTCTCCTAGTCAGTACCAAAGGGAATGTATAGAGAGGAGTATCGAGAAAGTGGATACTGATGTTGGGGTGTCAAGGCCTGGGTTAATAAATCCTAAGAGTAATTATCATCTAATTTCTTCCTACAGTAATACTGCCACATATAAATCCTACAGTACAGTCGTGAGAATAAAAGAAAATTATTGCCAACCTAAGAAGCTTTGATTGTTAGATAAATTCTCCTTGTCAGTACCAAAGGGATTTATAGAGAGGAGTATGGAGAAAGTTGATACTGATATTAGGGTGTTACGGCTGGGGTTAATAAATCCTAAGAGTGACTATCATCTAACTTCTTGTTACAGTAATACAGCTGAATCATTCTTTAAGATCATGGAAATAACAGAAATGATGGCTTCCCTAAGAATCTTTCATTATGAAATGAATTCTAGTTAGTGAAATAAATCAAAATACAAATTTGTAACAAAATTTACTTAAGTTTGTTCCTGCAAAAAATCATCACTTTACATAATACCTTTCTGAAAAAGTTTTGCTTCACAGAGGAAAATGATAACCCTTTGCAATTAAATATTAGTATGCATTTTCTCCACACTGTTGTCAGACATTTCCGAAGGTTCTGTCAAGGAGATTTTGTTGAAAAATCAAGAGCCTCTTGAGTTGAAGATCATTTCCTATATTCCCATGACCTTAATGTTTGACACAGGAGAGATACTTTAAGGAGAAATTGGACTTTAGTCACTTTAAAGGCTAAAATAATTAATAGTTTATTGTGTTTGATACAATCTTTCTTATTTTTCCAGGTGGAAGTGGTATAAAAAAATCTGGAAAGAAATGACATTGGATTATTTATCCTGCACAAAGTCCAAAACAAGGATCTCCCAGTTTTGCAAAGGCCTTGTACAGAACTTGTATATCCTGTAATAGTTTAGGCAATGGCAATCATTTAGTTAGTAACCAAGTTATAGATAAACACGATTTTCATTTCTAAAATGTTTTTTCTTTAATCCCCTATGATAAATACAATTATTATTATCATATCTTTACTATTACTATTGTTATTATCTTTTTTATTGATATTATTATTTTGCTGTTTTAAATACTTGAGTGGAGAATTTTTTTTTCCCTTTTCCCCACAACTTTTGACCTCAAAGATCAAATTATCAATTCTCTGTTCTTTCTCATAATTTTAGTGGTGGGATTTTGGAGCCAAATCAAACAAAAATCCCTTAGTTTTTTTTTCTCTTTTAAGGTTACTCTTCTGCTTTCAAGTATATTTATTTTGAATGGGGTAGTCCTTTTTCTTCACTCCTGGAAGTGAAAGGGTTTAAAATTTATCATAAATTTCATTCTTTCTGTTACCTGTCAAACATATAAAAACCCTTAAGAGATAAGATAGAAAAAGAAAGAAAAGCAATGCCTCAACTGAGACCTTGTATCCTTTGCATGAAAATAATTACGAAAAAATTGCATTGTGCTAATCATTGGCTATTAGGCTGCTAAAATCCTACCCCTAAAAAGTTGCTTCACAAAAGATTTTAATTATATCAAAGTGTCTAAAACTCAATGCACAATGCTCAAAAATGCCCAAAAATGTCAATGTTAGGAAATTTATGGACACTTACTTGCTTTAAAAAAAAAGAAAATTTTTCCTACCCAAGTACGGAAAAACCTCTATGTATTACTTAGTGAAAAAGGCAAGAAATACAAAAACACCACTTTACTGTGACAACCAGGCTGCCCTTGCCTGGCTAAAACGTGTTGAAATCACCGCTTAAAGTAAAACATGACACCATTACGCATCTTCTTATCGTTTAATAAGACATTGATATTACAGGCATAAATTTTTTTTTTTTTTTTTTTTTAAGTTACGGGAAAAAAATCAAATATGTGTTTACCGGGCTCCTTCAGGCATTTCAATCTTCAAATGCGTCTCCCTAATGTGTTAGTAGCCTTTGCAAGTGTTCTTTAGGCGTTGCGTGACATCTCGAAGAACAGCAGTGAAAAGAATTACCATTTCGATCGAGGACTGCGAAGTTTCAAGGTTTTATTCGAGCCTCTTAAACGGTTCTTACAACAGCAAGAATGGAGAAACGAAACGAGTTAAGCGATGGCTAAATGATATTAAATAGTAGTGTTAATCCCGGCTTTGAACGAATGCGCGCGCATCACTTTCGTTAGAATCACTTCTTGTGCCACCCTGAGCCGACACCCTGCTGCTTGTTTTGTTTTTGCACTAAGGACCCGAGTTGGTTATAGAGAAATCGAGCAACCGAAGATGACCTTCTTGATTCCATTTGCAGCAACGTTTGGCCTGGGTAGGTAAAATTCGCTGACCTATAAGCTTACTGTAACAAACTAATCAAAGTAATTCTAAATTGATCGCAAGGAGGTATAGGGCGAGTTGCTTCAACCTTTGCTTGAGATCTCGTGAAATTGAATATGCATGGCCGTATTATGTACGATTCGAGGATTAAATTTCGACCGGTACAGAACTTTTCCCACTAAACCAGTGAGAAATTCGTGTAAAACTGATTTTAGTGCGTATGTCTTCGTTAGTTCTTCGAAGCTGTGTAAACCTTTGTCACTCCCAGCCAATTTCGGAGAGCCCGAAAAACAAAACCACACCGACAAAATTAAGAGCGCTAGCGTTGTCTGTGATATTAGCTCTGTACTTTTCTTTCTCTGTTTTTCAAGGAATGGTTCTCGTCGAATAAAGGAAGTTGTCTGTGATATTTCTTCTGTAGCTTCCTTCCTTTTTGTTTTTCAAAGAATGTTTCTCATCAAAGGAATTTTCATTACCTAAACGAACTTTCATGGATAAGAAAGAGTCAGAAAGAGATGATTTGCATAATTTCCATCATGTTGATTTAATTTTTACTCGAACGTACGCCCATCGGAAAATAAGCTGAAATATCTCTTCTTTCAATTAAGATGATGATTTATCCGTGTTTCGTTAACATCTACAACTTTTTTTTCGTTTCAGTTGAAATTAAAACTCATTCGTACGCATTCTGGCTTAAAATCAAGGTTGTGACTGAATGCCTGGCAGCGGGGCACGGTCTCAAATTAAATAGACGAAATGCCCCGAAGTCAAAAATTTTCACGCAACTTCCACCGAAAGGTTCTTTCAAACTTCTTAAGAGTATCAGATGTTTGTTGAGAAATGTCAAGGGATTAAAAAAATTAGTTTGGTTTTTCAGTGAACAAATTCTCCGAGCTTGTAGACACTACAATATCGCGCGACAACCGAGCAATATTGTAGTGTGCACAAGCCTAGAGAGTTTGTCCACTAAAAAACCAATTTAACGTTTGGAATCGCTTGACATTCGTTAACAAACACTTCATATTCTCAAGAAGTTTGAAAGAACCTTCCAGCGGAAATTGCGTGAAAACTTTTGACTGCCGGGTATTTGGTCAATTTGAGACCTAGCCCAGCTGCTGGGCATTTCGTCACTGCTTAAAAGCAAACCTGTACATTTTGCTTTGATATTTGAATTCAGTAATTACTAAAATCGCGAAATACATTGTGCTTAGAATGATGGAGTCATTACATTCTTACTCTCTTTGTTCACTCGAAGTTTCTCTTCACGTGCAGGCATTGTCTGGGACATAAATTTGACATGAACGGATACGCATCCAAATTTGTAACCCGCAGCGTGACGATCTGCATCACGCAATATTTGGATAGAGGATTTAAAAAAATTTGTAGCGTTATTATGTCCACTCGAGCACAGCTGATAAAAGCATTAGGATACATCAGATACTACTAGTGATTTTTTGGGTTTCCCAGGATATAGTTTCTGTCCATTTAAATGTTATGTAATTTCATAATCTCGTAACGCTGCTTTTTTTGGATGTCAATAGTATTTGTTGTGGGAAATCAGGCAGCGCTTCCGGACGTCGGAAAATGCACATTTATGGAATACTATTGTAAAGCACGTGACTGTGAGACAGAATTCTTTATAGAGCGGCGAAAGGATCCTAAAGGAAACTGTAGGTAAGTTGTTACTGATTCTTATCGGCAATAAGGATCACTCTTTTGTGCAACGAAAATAATCCGGAAAAGAAAGAACCTTTTTATTTTTCAGAACTGATTAGTGAGATATATTTTCTTTAAAGTGTAATTTGGTAGTTGTTAAAATTTAGCGATGTAAAAGGAACTATAAAATTGCTGTTTCTTCAGAAATGTACAGAGTTTTAAAACATATATGTTTCGGCTTTGACCTTTTTGCCATGAACGCGACCTCGGCTAGGCGGGCTACCCCACTTTGAGACGTTTATATGGAAAATTGTCACCCTGGCTGATAGAGACCCCACCTGGCAGACCGGGCAACCCGCCCAGCCGGGTCACCCCACCTATCATGTAAACGTGATCAAGATAAAATAAGAAATTATATGGACAGGCAGGTTACCTCACCTACCTGGGGTCCCCCACCTCTATGTAAACAGGCCCTAACTCACGGTTTATTCACTTTATTAGACGATTTTACACTCACAACTCTCGGCTTATTCGTAGGAAAAAAACACAAAACGTACCGTTTTAAGCTCGTGGAACAGTGTCATGTATGGGGCGATAAAACACGTGCCGCATACATGTTTGTTTGGTTAGGTATGGATTCACGAAATCACCCATAAATGTCAATCAACTTAAGAATAATTAACGTATCATACAGTTTCCAACAAGAGCTGTCATATTTAGGAATAGGTAGGTAGGAATGACGCATCACGAAAAAATCAGATAAACAACCTAAAGTTTCTTGTATCGCGAAAAGCATAAAAGTACCAGTTCACTGGGTTTTAATTTCGTATTTTCTCTGGTTATCAAAAATTAAAAAATAATCAATCCTGTATCGCGCAGTAACCCTCTTTCCTCTCCCTATCATTTGATCGATCAATCAACTACATTATTCATATATAATGATTGGATAAAAGGAAAAAATTAACAACTAACAGTAAATAATATACATTTTATACATTTTAGTGCTCATCACGATGAAATGCTCAATTGTGCCACAAACACTTTGAATTCTTGCTCTGATGCCAACTCGCCATCAAGTCTCCTGAAAGCACAAATTGAACAAAATTTCGGAGTAGATCTCTTGTGCACTAAAGGCGCTGTAGATACCCCAGCCAACATCTTTGGTAAATTGCTTCCGACTTTGCCATGCTCCGGATCTTTCAACAACGAATCAAGCGCCTGTGTGAAAAACTACCATGAAAAATTTATTGCAAATGCATCGGATCCTGCTCTTTGCAAGTAAGTATCAGTTAGTGAGCCATTGTTCCCTCAGAGGGCGAGTCGGGGTGTATTCTCTCATCAAAATAACAGGTGTATCCCTGGGATAACTTCATAAACTCCCGTCACCCCCTTAATCCCCACCTAACGTCATCTCCCCCCCCAGCCTTTAGAGATAATGATTTCAACAAGGTCTCAATGGCGTTACTCGTTAGTCCTACAGCGGCAAAACATTTTTAGCTATTAGGTGTAAAAATTGACAGTTAAATTTTAACTGTTAGTCGTAAAAAAATGTTAACCTTAAAAGTTTACCTCTGCCACAATGTCATATTTGTCATTTTGGGTTAACCGTAGCCATAAAATGGCCAAAGTTTTAATTTGTAATAATTTTCTCGAATCATGTTTTTCAAATACTTATTTCAGTCCTGGATTAAAAGGTTATTTTTACAAATGCTGTAAAAATTTCTTTCTTTTCAACATGCAAGATAAGCAATCTTAGGAGCCTTGCTAGAAATTTCTTAAATTTGCAAAAACTCTAGCAGGGGCCATTTTAGGCTCAAACTACCTGAGCGGAAACAACTTTCTCCACACTGGCGTACATAAAGAACATCTATGCAATCTACTTCACAAGAGTTGGGATTGAAGACTGGACCCTAGAGAAGGGCCTACATTTGGCCAAACTCACTTGAGCCCATGTAAGATTACCCATGTCGTTGAGGACATTTTTTTTCTGAGTTATTTTTATTTGCATAGGGGACAAGCTGATGCAAAGAAATGTCTGAAGAATCTGATGAAGTCTGTCTGTAGCTTTCCCTCTCAGATCCAGGAAATCTTTGATCTGAGTCTTAGTGACCACAATCCTTTCTGCACCAACAAGCGGGATCCTGGGGCGACTGGCAATGAAATATGTGATGACGTGGTAGTAAATACTAGAGATTCATCCGCTGGTCGCATAAGTTGCGCATTGAAGGCACTTGTGCTTTCTTTCTTGTTGGCGTTATTCTTGGCGAACATGTAAAACTGGGAGGCCAGTTCCGAGATTACTTAATTGCGTTAGCTACAAAGATACTTTTCCAGATAATTTTCCTTACGAAATTCTATCAATTTCTTTGCCGAGCTCAAAACTGACCATCTTTCTTATTTCTATCTACAAACATTACGCCATCGACATTGCTGATCCTAGCAGTAGGCAGGACGCGTTTCATATGAACTTCGTAAAAGACCTCGCTCACCGTGGAGTCTCAGTGGCTCAGTGGTGGAGCATCAAAGCGCGGAATCCGAAGGTCTGAGGTTTGATTCCTCATGGGGACTCAGAATTTTTTCTTTGTCCCACGCTCGTGACAAAACGAAAACATCTTTCTGTAGTGAATTTTTATGTTTGGAGCTTATCGTATTGGGTTGCAATTACAACATTTAGATAGCATTGTAGTTTCTCGTTATTTAAAAAACTATAGTGCAGGCTTTGATTCTCGTCAACTCTTCACCTGGTTTTCTTTATGTTCCGATAATTTCCATATTTTGTTCTGTGATTGGTTTCAAGCTAAAACTCGTCTCGCAAAGCATCATTTTACCAACCAGAAAGCGCAACCAAAACCAACCAACTTTGTTTCCAGGGTCCTCTCTCTTCCTCTTCCCTCGTGGGGGAGGAATGAAGAGGACCCTGGGAGCGAAGTGTATTTTTCCCTCGGAAGAGGAAAAGAGAGTTAGATATTTCATGTAAATTCAAAGGAAGTATACTTCATTTTGTTTAATCAGGTAAAGAGTTTTGTTCTTTTGTGTCACTAAACACTGGCCTCTTTGCGTCAGTATAAATGAATACCGTATACTCCAAGCCTTTCGTTTGCAAACTGAACAATACAATAACTAAGTGATCGGTATTTTTTCCTTTAAATCTGTTTCTAAGTCATAAGAAGTAAGAGAGAGACAAAGTGAGAGGAAAGGTTTTTTTTATTGAGGTAATACTTGCTCTTTTTAGATCGATATTGTGAGTAATGACATGGAATATTAATAATAACAGATTAAGAATATAATAAAGTTTGGAAGAAGCACATCCTTGTTATTGAGAAGGAATCATTATGAAAAATGGGGGACTGATGTTTCATTCCATGTTGTAACAACAAACACAAAGTCGATACTTGGAGAAAAATTTCCAACAGTTCGTAAAATATATTTGGTTGTTTGCGAGGGAATAACTCACAGGAAACTCCTTGAAATAAGTAATATGTTTTGGATAAGTATAAATTTTTTTTACTTTATCCCAAAAAATTAAAAGAATCATTCTTTGAATGTTCGTTTCAAAAAGACAATTAGGCTGAGGCTCAGTTCTTCCTTTCAAACAAAGTTCCTTTCATTTAGATCGGCGTTCTAAATCCACAATACTTTTTTGCGTTATTTCGCATTTATTGTGGGTAGGTTGAAAGTCAGTAAGCATTTGTAAATATCAATCATCGGTTTTGCTGAGGTTACCAATTAAGCAATCAGTCTTTATTTTGAGGAGATTTGCATTTCCTGTTTGCTGTTTCAAAACATTTCTGTAGGGTTCGAGTTAGAAGCTATTTTTTCTTTAAGAGTTAACACGTTAAGGTGCCTTTTTCTTTTAGATAGAACAACACTATCTAACACGTCTGTTGAACCCTTCTGTAAAGAGGCTTTGCGAAACATTTGTATCAACCAACATCAGAAATGGAGAAAGGCAGACAAGCAGTAGGTAGCTGAGGAACTCTTCCTTCCATCGGAGCTTTGTACACCAACTTTCTCAACTGAAATGATCGGAGAGAAAATCCAGAGTTTCGATCCGCGTACATTTAAAAGCGTCTTTCAGATGTAAAACTCAAGGATAATTTCTCGACTTCTTCACCATCTTCAAAACATTGTTCCGTACATTGTATTAATCATGAATTTCTTAAGGCGAATCTTAAGTTTTTTTATTGTTTTCTTAGGCCAAAATTAAAAGACGATTCGTTCCTCATTTCAGATTATTTTCCAACCTTGCTGCAGAGACTTCTGAGTCTGTTTCAGTCGAATGTCACCAAACGTGCGGGGATTTATCTCATATTCAGTGACTTTCCCTTGCAGAGATTGCAGCATAGTGACATTCATTTACCGGCATTGACACTAAATTTAGCAATGGCTGCACAAGACCGATTTTTGTTTCCAAAATTCTGAAAGTATTTTCACGTTGGCACTTTCAAAAAAAATATTTAGCTTACACTGAATTTTGTTAGGAATATATTTCTTCCCTAAGAGAAGTTTTGATGCTTAATTTATGCAAATTCATATTTTTTTCAAGTATTTTCATCCAGAGTGTTGAACGCGCCCATGTTAACCAATTCGCTCAAAAACTGAGGTACTGTAGTCTAAAATAATATTTAGTTTGCATTAGGCAAGAGTGAGTCCGTTGGGTGTGATTCTCTTTTCTTTGTGATTGGTCAAGAAAATTCACGCCACCCATAGAAAATGATTATCATTTCTCTGTAAAGAAATATCCTTTTCGTTCTTTTAACGTGTCACATTCATCCGTAAAGCTATCTTTACTCTCTCCGCCATTTCAGGATGATTATTATTATTCACTTCGCGAACATAAGATCGAAGTAACCTTTTCCGTTTTATGAGAGTCTATAAATAACTTACAAGGGAAACTGACATATCCTAGGGGCTGGACTAGGAACCTCTCTGTCCCATTAGTTGGTTTAAGAAACGACGTCAGCGACGCCGTGGACAACGTCGGCTAACAAATGAACACCCACGACTCGCGCGACGCTCTACAGTCATTTATTTTGTTTCTTACTGTTATAAGTATCTCGAAACTGAATATGGAACACAGATTTGAATTAGAAATGGAAACTTGGAAAACTTGGAAAACTTGGAAAACCAAAAGTTTGGTCATTTCACGTTGTTGTTTTGCAGAGGGACAAAAAAATTTACAGTGAATTATAACACACGTGTACAATTGTTCCGCTCACCAAATCGTTTGTTAAGTGACGTTCCCGTTTCCTATTATTAACTCTCACCTTACCTTATCAACCAATCAGATGCAAAACTAAAGCTAATAGCCATTTATCACCCGCAAATCAATTTTTTCTTCGTAAACGGAAGAGTTGTTTACTTAAGTAATTATC